AGCCCCGGAGGCCTCCGCGCTCGTCTGGTCCGTGCCCGGGGCTTCGCCCCGCCTGCGCGGGGGTAGGCGGGGGCCGGGCTGCCGGGGGGCAGTGCGGTCTCTGGGACAGGAGGGTCCCGGGCCAAGGGGCAGGAGCGGCCACACCAGCCTCTCCTACTGCTCTGGGGGGTAGCGTGGGTTGACTCCAGGGCTCCTCAGTCTCTTTGCAGGCTCCGGGGAGCCCTTCCCCCCCCTGCCCCCGGAGAAGGGCCCCGGGGGGGCGGGCATGGAGCTGGAGCGGCGCCTGGCTGAGCACTGCCACCACGGCCCCCCCAGTCCTGGTCCTGGGCGCGAGCGCCTCCAGGCCCATCGCAAGCTGAGCATCACCTGCGCCATCTGCGTTGTCTTCATGGTTGGCGAGGTTGTTGGTACGCAGGCAGCATCCCAGCCAGGGGAACTCTGCCCTGTCCCCCCAACAGGGTCCGGGCAGCCACGGGCCTCCACCCCCAGGTGGTCCTGGCTGCCTCCTCCCTGCGGGAGGCTCCAGGAGAGTGGGTAGTGGGACAGGGCCGGGGCGCTGGAGCTGGCACTGAGAGCAGCTGTCTGGCAGGCGGGTACCTGGCGCACAGTCTGGCAATCATGACGGACGCGGCACACCTGCTGACGGATGTGGGCAGCATGTCCGTCAGCCTCTTCTCCCTCTGGGTCTCCACCCGGCCGCCCACCAAGACCATGAGCTTCGGCTGGCACCGCTCGGGTGAGACTCCTACTACCTTGCACCCCCAGGGCCTGGGGGAGGGCAGGGAGACTCCTCACAGGCCAGGACCAGTTTGTGCAGGGCTTCGCTTTGGCCCACCAGGCCTTGCCACAGAGATGGCTGCCTCGGTGGAGCCCATTACTCAGGATGCCTCGGCAGGCAGGCCCACAATAGAGGCCTCTCTGCTCCTTCCCTGAGGGGAGGCCAGGGCCTCACTGCTGCCCAACGCTAGCCTAGGCGGTGGCTGTGACCATGGGCAGGCGCTGAGGGCCCTGTGCCCACAGAGACGCTGGGCGCACTGGCCTCGGTGCTGTCCATCTGGATCGTGACGGGCGTCCTGGTCTACCTGGCCTCTGCCCGCATCATCAACAACGACTACGAGATTGAGGCGCGTGCCATGCTGGCCACGTCTGCCGGCGCCGTGGCTGTCAACCTCATGTACGTGCCCCAGCCCCAGCCCCACCTGCCCACTCCAGCCCCACACCCCACTGTCTGCCCCATGCCCAACCCAGCACCCCCACTGCCTGCCCCCACCTGCCCTGTGCCCCCTGCCGCCTGCTCGCAGCCCCAGCCCTGGCAGCCCCCACTGCCCAGCCCTGTGCCTGCCCACTCTGGCCTCCAAAGTGCTGTATCTCCTCCCTGCCCCCCACGTGTGTCCCCTCTGGCTCCCCTGCATGCCAACCCCTGCTGCAGGGGCCAGCTGGTGCTGGGTGCCCCAGCCAGGGCAGCTCCCACCTGCTATGTCTGGGGCAAAGCCTGCAGGGCAGGGCATGGGGGTGGGGAGCTGACCCCTTTGCATGGCCTGTGAGCATGGACACCCCTGCCCTGGCCCTGGCCCAGCTTGTGGGCAGTGGCTCGGGGGCACAGGGCCCACACTCAGCAGTCCTGCTTCTGCAGCATGGCCTGCATCCTGCACCAGTCGTCCGCACCCCATGGCCACGGCTGGGGCTACGAGCGTATGGAGGAGAGCACAAGTGGGAGCCCCGCACCAGGGCATACCAGTGTGCGCGCCGCCTTCGTGCACGTTGTGGGCGACCTGCTGCAGAGCCTGGGTGTCCTCGTGGCTGCCATCGTCATCTACTTCAAGGTACATGCTCCGCCTCACTGTGCAGGTGTGCCCAGGGCCACAAGCTCATTCTGCCATGGGCAGCGTAGGGTGAGCACCTGTGCCCAAGGAGCTACCCTGCTAGTCCCAGCACCCACACCCTGGCTGACATAGCTCAAGCCCAAGGGGGCTGAGAGCCTGGGGCATGAAGCTGGGGTTGTCCCTGCACCAGATCATGGTGCCTGCTCTTTGCAGCCCCAGTATAAAATTGCCGACCCGATCAGCACCTTTCTCTTCTCCATCTGTGTCCTGGGCTCCACCCTCACCATCCTCAGGGACGTCTTCAGGGTCCTCATGGAAGGTGAGCAGTGCCAGGCGGGGGAGGAGGGGTTGGAAGTGGGGCTGGGCTCGAGGCAGGGTAGGAAACAGTGGTCTAGCTGCAAGGGGG